TCAATCTGTGGACACAATAAGAAATCAGGTGTCAATCAAGGTCAGGTATGTCATCACCATCATCAGGTAACTGAAGCGTTAGAAGAATCTCCTTCAATCTGTGGACACAATAAGAAATCAGGTGTCAATCAAGGTCAGGTATGCCATCATCATCAGGTAAGTGAAGCGTTAGAAAAATCTCCTTCAATCTGTGGACACAATAAGAAATCAGGTGTCAATCAAGGTCAGGTATGCCACCATCATCAGGTAACTGAAGCGTCAAAATAATCTCTTTTAATCTGTGGACATAAAAAAGCAGGTGTTAATCAAGGAAAACCTGGTGGTGGTGGTGGTGGGGGGGTTGGGGGGGGTGGGTTGGTGCAGGTACCGGATGCCGCCAGAAACAAAAAGGCCTGTATATAACTACTGTACTCATATGAGCAATATGTTAACTCTGTCCCTGGCAGACTTTAATCTTATATGTTATAACCCGAGAAATAGTTATTTATCAAATAAATGAACTGAAGAAGTTATAACACTACTAGGAGTATGAAGGTACAAGGAGTAGGAAAGCATAACTTGTTAGTAGAAACAATTAATTATTATCCAAAAATTCAATTTAACAAACAGTTTAGAAATAGTTCTTGGGTCATCTTTTTTCAATTAAAGACAAAAAGGGTAGGCTGCAATGGAAAAAGAGATTTAGGGGCACAAAAGCATAAACCAAGATAAAAGAAGTTGTAATAATACTATGGGAATGAAGATACAAGGAGTTAAGGGAAGCATCCTATGTTAGCAGACATTTAAATGCTTCATCATCATCATCATGTAGCAGGTCATTTGCAGAACATCGCTCTCATCACAGCTTGTCTGAAAGAAACTCAGTCTCTCACCAGTTCTCCTGCCTCACACACTTTCACACTCAAGGAGTCACTTATATCCTGTGCCCATCTTCGTGTTGGTCGGTCCCTGCCTCTCCTTCCTGGTACCATGCCTTCTGCTATATTTTTTTCCAATCCGTCGTGGCGCTTGATATGACCAAAATATTTCAGCTTTCGAGAAAGGATGCTGTTTATTAGCCAATCTTCCTTGATGTTCAGATCTTTTGAGATGTCAATATTTCTCATTTTCTTTGTCCAAGATATTCTGAGAATCTTTCTATATCATTTCAGCTCAAAAGCCCCTATTCTCTTTCCTAAGGACTAAGAGATAGTCCACGACTCTGTATGTAGCCACAGGGAAAATGCATGCTCTCAAAATTCTAATTTTTATTTCCTTATCTCCATAGACTTTTAAGGCTGTTCAATCTTTGCATTGCTAAGACCATCCTCCTTTTAATTTCTATTGACCAGTCTCCATTGTTGTTTATTATAGAGCCTAGATATTCAAATTTTGTGACATTTTCAATTTCTTCATCATTTATTGTTATTTTTGGGTGACAGCCAGTTTTATCTGTGGACATCATTTTTGTTTTCTTTAAATTCAAGAACAGATTTTGATCTTCACTGTGCTTTTGGACAGCCAATTTTAAATTTTCTATTCCCTTTACACTGTTTGAAAGGAGGACTGTGTCTGCGTAGCGGAGTTCCGGAATAGGGTTGCCACCAATTCTGAGCGGATCATAACTGCTTAAATGTTTAAATGCTTAGTTAAATAATATCCTAAAATTCAACATTTTAAACAGTTTACAAATAGTTCCTGAGATCTTTTTAAAGACACAAAGTATAAACTGCAATGGAAAAGAAGATTTGGGGCACAAAGGCAGAAACCAAGATGGTAGAAGTTATAACAACACCATGCGAATGAAGATACAATGGGTTAAGGAAAGAATAACATGTTAGTAGAAAAAAAATAGTTGACTACTTAAATAATCCAAACATGCCAATGCAGACACCAAAAACTTCAGGGGTGGCTTTTCAAAACTGTGAAAGGAACATCCCAACACCACCTCCACAGCAGAGGATGAAACACACTGCAACAAGGTAACACAGCTATGGGGGGACCGTGTTGATGCCAGTATAAGTGAACACCGCTGGGGTGTGCTCTGCTATAAACAAGAGCACCACAGAATGAAACTCACTTACTTGCCCTGACAATCTTCAGCCATGTAAAGGCGGAAATCAAGGGGAAACTTCCGTATTAATTTAACTGCTCAAGAAACCCCTCACAGAAATAAAATCAAGAGCAGTGTACAAGAGATATAGCAGACATTTGGGCATGAAAGTGCATGAGGTGGAAAAGCTCATTAGGGACAGTTTCCTTCAGCCAGACTGCCATGGAAGCAACATTCTGTGAGCTACATGGTGATCATGAAGGTTTTAACTGCTTTTGTTTGACTGCAAAAGTACTGCTCTATTTCCAGCTGACCCATATGCATTTACTTGTGTCTGCCTTAACAGTCAATGTGATGACATTAGGTTGACATACTGCCATTGAGGACAGCCACTTGCAGGCAACAATTTTAAACACACACCCCCCACCCGATACACACCTAGCTATACTGATTGTTGCCATGAACATTTTGTTACAATTTTTCCGTCTTAAACTCCAAGGCGGAACTGACGTCCTTCAAAAAGCTTCACTCCGAAGTCAGGTAATCATAGATAAACACTAACGCTGATGGCATGCATGAAAGATAACAAACTGAGGAAGGCATACAACATATTTCCTCTCTGAACTTACCATAATATTCAGAGTAGCTTGGGTTGTTCTGTAAATTAACATAAAGCAACAGATATGGTAAGCCAAGCAGGGGTGCTACATACATGCACATACAATAGTAAGCAAAACAAAATACAGGGAGGAGAGCGTGTAGAGAGAGGGAATACAATGCACTGCATGTTAATTTAATACAATATATTAACTGAAAGCTGTGCGCATGGAATATTTAAACATATTAAATCTTCTTAAAGTCCTTGACGTGTGGCATTGGTAGTCATGTCCATCCATAACCTTTTGTCTTGTGTACTTTCAATCAACTCCGACACAGATGATCTTTCATGCCATGATGTCACTGTCCAGCATCTGTTCTCTCGGTCTCCCTCTGCCTCTCCACCAACTTTCCTACTGTCACGATGTATTACAGTTTTATCCTTATCTTATGACCAAAGAATGCAGACTGTCTCTTTCTGATGTGGGTAATGAGTTCTCTTCGTGAGTCAGTTTATTTTGAGACGAATTCATTACTCTTTTTCTCTGTCCACAGTATTTTTATTTGTCATCTAAAAAAAAAAAAACCACATCTCTGCAGCTGCCAAAAAAGTTTTCACTAACTTACTAACTGTCCATGATTCACATCTCTATATTAACACAGGATTTATATAGTTTTTAAAAATTATCTTTCTCGTCTCAATTGCTTGAGAAATTCTACATTTAACTTCCTTAATACATCTTCCACCTAATGTTATCAGTGTACCCAAGTACTTAAACATTTCAACTTGCTTGAGGTTTGTACATTTTTACTTTGATGTTGCATTTTGGAGGGTCTTAGTAATTACCATTACTTCTGTTTTTCTGCTGTTTCAAACTGTGGCGTCCGTGGCTTAGGCGTTGCGAGTCCGACTTGTAATTCCAACGTACCGCGATCGAAAACCACTGCTGGCTGCATGGATTTTATCATGGCATAGGGCGTCGTGGGTCGACACAGCCTAAAATGGGTACCAGGAGGTGTGTCCTGGGGAAGTAAAAACGGCCTCCGTAATGTTGACCGCATTACCCACCTAGTGCTGATTGGTCTGTAAAAATACGGGTGCTCTTCCCATAGGTCAGATGCGCCTCAAGGCGTGAAAAGGGATCTTTACTACTTACTTAATACATCTTCTATCTGGTATCAGTGTACCCAAGTACTTAAAACATAACTTGCTTGAGGTTTGTACATTTTTACTTTGATGTTGCATTTTGGAGGGTCTTAGTAATTACTATTACTTCTGTTTTTCTGCTGTTCAAACTAAAACCCTTATTTTCACTTTCCGTTACAATTATATCCACCATTTCTTGCAGCTGTGTTTCATTTTCAGCGATCAAAACTATATCGTCAGCATATCGCAGGTTGTTAACAATGTGCCCACCAACTGCTATTTCTGGCATACCCTGGATCTAATTATTATTTCACTGTACAAAGTGAATAAATCGGGTGATAGTACACACCCTGTCTTAACGCCTTGTTTCATGTTGCCAGTATTTTTTTTTTTTTTTTTTATTTACTTTACCATCAATGTTTAAGGTTTCCAAAATTCTAATAATTTCTCCATGTTTCCCTTTATCAAATGCTTTAGCGTAATCAATAAACAGCTACTTTAAATAGGCTACATTCCACATCTATAACTCTATTGGAACAAAACTGATTGCAGTCGAGCCTATTTGGCATTACACAAAATTCACACCTGGGCATAATAACACAGTGGTTCAAATCTGATAAAAGAAACATTACATAATCATGCAATAGAGGAAATTTTTTTTTTTACAAATTTAAACAATTTAAAATCAGGACACGCCTAAGTTGCCTTTCACACAACCTGTACAGTAAGTTACAATGTTACTCTCTTTTGCCTCCCTTAGGGGCTGTGATGATAATACATGAGCAAACTGCTACAAATTATAAAACTATTTACTACTGTCTAAAAATATTTGCTATCAAACATGCATTTTTTAGCCATACAATAAACAGTAGCTCACAGAATGTGGCATTAACGATAAAACAAAAAATATTTATCTTCATCAGCATTTGTATGTGTCCAGAAACACATCTTACACAACAGCTTTCTTACAACAGTTTTCAGTGCAACATTATTGTAAAAAATTACAATATAATCTTACATTGGTGTGACACCTTACAATAGGGCTATTTAACTGACAGCCCACAGGCCAGATCTGGCCAGCAAAAGCCTAACAAATGGCCTGCGGATCACTGTCACCTGTATTGCATCAATAAGCTTTCTATCCTTGAGCTATGGCTTGTGGCCCGTGACGATCCCTATTTTCAAAATTTTAGTCCCTGAGTTTAAAAAAAAATTGGAACAACCCTAACCCTGCCTTTCATTCCAGCATTCTATGTTAACACCACTAATGTAATATCTTAAAGTACATCTTTCTGGGTTAACATCACTAATGTGATACCAAAAACATAACATTTCTATGTTACATCATCAATTTCTTTGTAATTCATTACAAATTGTCTTATTGCTTACATCACTAAACTGCTACATAACAATTAACATTAAAACTTTTTTAGATAGTTGTATCATATCATGATTCTATTAGAGACAGCACTGCACAGATATTCATTTCAAGCGAACAAAAGAAGATATGATAACTAATAACAGTTTTCAGGAAAATCAATAATATGGTATATTACAAACAACATTCACGAAAAACAATATTGTATCTTACAAACATTATTTGTGACTACATTATTAATGTGGTATCACATAAACTAATTACTTTCACGAATACATTTGTAATGTGGCATCTCGCAAACATACAGCTTTCATGAATACATCATAAAGGTGGTACGTTATTTTGCTGCTAGCTTTAATATTAGTCCACATATAAATGAATAATGTACTGATGTTGTGGTATTGAAGATTGTACTGATGTTGTGGTATTTACATTATTAATGTGGTATCACATAAACTAATTACTTTCACGAATACATTTGTAATGTGGTATCTTGCAAACATACAGCTTTCATGAATACATCATAAAGGTGGTAGGTTATAAAGCTGTTAGCTATAATATTAGTCACATATAATTCATCTGAATGAGAAGACTAAGTTCTGCATTATTTATATCATATAATATATATAAAAAACTGCCAACTCTCAGCAGTAATCACAAACAACAACAACAGTAGCATTATTCACTCACAAATTCCTCATTCAGCACGTCATAATGATTCCTCACAGCACACAGATAATTGTCAAAAAGTGGTAGTTTCCTCAATCCTTCAGAGCCAATCACATTCCTCATATAAGTCTCACACTCCCTCAGGTGGTTATAGAGTGTCCTCAGCTTGGCAACCCTCTTTTGTGTCACAGTGCCAACATTCTGTAACAGCACTGACACTCTCTGCAACAGAAAACACAAACAGAATGTTAACGGCGAGCTCTGTGTTTGTAGGTGTGGGTTATATAAAAAGATGACACAAATATATTTAGGAATGCCACAGATTATGTTTGGATAGCCTCAACAGACTCCATAAAGTTGTTAACAGGACAGATCCAACAACACACAATAAGCCTGGCTGCTACACCCCCATTTTGTCTCTGCGTGTGTAAAAAGAAAGAAAGAAAGAAAGAAAGAAAGAAAGAAAGAAAGAAAGAAAGAAAGAAAGAAAGAAAGAAAGAAAGAAAGAAAGAAAGAAAGAAAGAAAGAAAGAAAGAAAGAAAGAAAGAAAGAAAGAAAGAAAGAAAGAAAGAAAGAAAGAAAGAAAGAAAGAAAGAAAGAAAGAAGAGAAGAAAGACATCACCTCACTGTTATCTGCAAATCTGACCTTGCAAATGTTCTTTCAATAGGCCAAACAATGGTCCCAAATCTGGGCTGTATGCTGGATGTTTCAATACTTCAAACCAAGAAAGTCTGTAGTCTATCTACCACACATGCAGCCATGTGGGGACAGGCCTTGCCATGCAGCAATAAAACTACCACACTACTTTTCATCAGACACTATCCCTTCCGTTTTCAAATATTTCCACCCATTCATACTTTCCTCTGACATAAAACTGTCTCTGTACTGAACCTATATTCTTCGATGGATTTCAGATGGTTTAAAACCTGCTCTCTCCCAAACACCCCCACCTCTCTACAACTGTGCATGTTTACAGTGCTGTGGCCATCTTGTACAAGTCGCGAAGCGTATAATGCTAAATCGTCACCACACATACTTTGGGTATTGTAAAGTGACTGTTCTGTGTCTTACAATATTGTCTCTTCTGCATACTGCAATTGTACAATTGCCCTTACTTAATGACTTTCCCTCATATATACACACACACAGATGGGTGGTTTTGACGTCTGGGCAATGACTTCTCTCACTCCAGCATGTGAACCCTTGAGGCTCACTGCTGCAGATATCCCGTGTCCAATCAACCATGTTTTGGGTTTGGTGATCCAAGTGTTTGTAGGTTTGCTTTGCCTTTAAGTCTTCTTCCATTTAACTCTTTTGTGCAAGAAGTTGTTCTCTATATAACGAGCCACTCTCATGTTGCCCTGACATATGCAGTTCTTGTGATATCAGTAAAGTGACTGTTATGATTTAAACAGATTATGACCTAATCTTCCCAATTTTCAATGACGATGACATATTTCACTTGAACATAATTTTTTTTTTGGATCTTATCAGATGATACTAGGTATTTGATCCAAAAATCACAAAATCAACAGTGGAGAGGGGTGAAAGAGCTTGGGTTTGAGCAATGAATATAAAAATAACAAACTGATAGTGAATGGGAGATGCAGAGATGGGTAACAGCAGTTGCCAGTTAGAAGGCACTTCATGATGATCGTGAAATTGCTAATGGTGGCAAAATTCAGGCAGCTGTTTGAGGAACTGAAGGGGATGATCTACATGTTTGATCATGTCACGAGGAGAGTACCTCATGATGATTGGAAAGTTGGAGGGTAAAAGGAGCAGAGGAAGACAGAGAGATGCTGGACAGTTTGTGCATCATGGCATGGAATATCATCTGTATCAGAACTAACTGAAAGTACGTGAGACAAGGTTGTGGAAAGATGTGACTACCAATGCCACACTTAACGGACCAATGCCACACTTCATGGACCAATGCCACACTTCATGGACCAATGCCACACTTCATGGACTATGAGAAGAACAAAGAATAAAAATGAGCTGTCGCTTATTCCTACTAGGCATGTCACACGAGCTGACCAAGGAAGCTGGAATGGAGATGGCTACCTCTTCCTGTGAATTAATTGAGTGGCAAAATCCAACCAATGGTGAACAAGTCTTCAAAGAGTTTTGTGTGTGGGTTGTTGAAGGCTGAGTCTGAAAAACTGACCCATACTCAGTGACTTGAAGAGTCCCTACTCAGATGCAAATCCAACAGAAGCCAATTCTAGAAACCCCTTTCAACCATATAAAAATTAGCTGGGGTACTCTGGGTATAAAACAGCCTACTGTCTAATGTGGGTAAAGCTAGTTGTGCATCCTTTACAGGTTGCTGCAAAACCAACCTCAGCATTTTTTGGTTGTGATTTTTTAGGCAAATTTTACATTCAGTAGTTTGCCACTCCTTACTGAAAGGTCAGCTCTCGGTACCACCATCGAAATCAACGCAAGACAAATCGTCCGCTGATGGTGTCAAACCCGGCATTACAAAGTGTGTTGCAGCGCGTAAGCCACAGCTGCTTTCTTTGTGAGTAGGTAATGACAATACAATTACTGAAAGGGATATGCAACTAAATTGTTTCATCAGATACTTCTTCTTCTTAGCATTTACCTGCTGTAAACACTGAAGGAGAGTTCTGGTTGTCCCCTCACTTCTGGATTTTTAATCTTCTTTCAAAACCTGAGTTTATTCTTTTCTCCAAAATAAGACCCCTGGAACCCACCTGGAGGATTTCATGAGATACATATCTGATTAGAAAAAGTGAACATTTATTCTGTTTTAGCAGCTATTAACGTTATACTAATTGGAAAAAGTTAACAAAACAACCATGGGCCACGAAAATGATTTTACTAACCTCTCCAACTAACTGCTTGTTACAGGCATACTTTTCCTCCTCGCTCCTCCTTGGATCCTCTTCAAGAGATTCAATCCTGTTCTTGATGGTAAGGAGACGAGTGAAGACCTTCTTGGGCAAGACTTATTTAAAATCAAGAAACAACCCCCTTCTGAGTACATCTGAAACTTCTCTTCCTCAAGCAAGAGGATTTCTGGGACACGAAAATGTGCCCTTCCAAAGTCTGTCAACTTAATCAGTTCCAGAAGACTTTCTGCTGTTGTTTCCAGGGAATCCTTTATGCTGAAAGCAATATCCTCATGTATAAGTTCTTTTGGGACAGTGAAATCAAAACCCCGTACAGGCACTTGCAGGTCTGCAGGCAGCGGCTCGCCAGAGAAAGTTCCTGGCTCATAAAGCATTGAATCTGTAAGCTCCGACCCAAGCTGCAGCTTAATGAAAGAGGACAAGAACTTAACCTGGCCTTGTTGCTGGTCTAATACACACTGGCATTTTTTAATTACATTTACTTCCAGCAGAATCTGTTCATCTGAGAAATGCTCTAACCGATCCTCAAACAAACGATTGCCAAAATTGTTGATAACTGGTTCAATGGTCCCCTTAGGGATAAGATCAGATGGGATGTTTAGATACCTCATGCAACACTGAATGGTCTCCAAGCATCTTCTCTGTCGCTCTTCTCTTGAGTGGCGTTTATCACTCAAAACAGTGTGCAGAGAATATGGCAGGATAGAGGTCAGCTCCGGTGTGATTGAAATACCCAGCTGAGAAATAATTAACTGCTTCACTGTTACATTGTACGATCTGAGATACTTTGAGTTGCCAGGATGGGACTGGGCTAGACGGCGGGAACGTAGGATCTCTGAATAATCTAAGGCTTTGCCCAATGCGTCATGTTGTCTTGACTTTTCAACTTCATGTCTGTGCATGTCTGGTGCTGACCCTTCTTTGCCCACAATTCTGTTCATTTTGTCTACTTTTGCATCATCCCTGACTTGACCACTTCCTTCATGACAACCAGAAGTGCTTCTGTCATCTGTCAACATTGTAATGGCAGAACTGCTTGCAAGGTTCTGGGTACTCATGTTTGCTAAACTGCTCCCAGGCTTTGGAGCACTGCCACCACTTGTATTCACAGCTCCACGTGTCTGTTGCTGAGTCTGCTTCTGGGTGCTATTTTGTGTGCCCATATTAGTGAGGCTATACAACATGTCAAAGGGGTGTTGACTTTTGGGCTTCTTTGTTTGACTCACTGTCCACAGTTTGTCATCCTTTGACGAGTAGCACGCTCTTTTAGTATTCTGACTTCTTGAGCCACTGCTATGCCTGGATGAATGCGAAGTACTTGTGCTATATCTACTACTAGGAGATTTCGACCTACGACTTCGATGGCCTTTAGATGCTGAGGAGTCACGACTTCGACTGGATGATGTAAATGATCTTCGATACCTGCGTCTAGAATATCTAGAAGATGATCGTCGCCTGCGCCTTGAGTAGGATGATGATGAATGAGATCTTGAACGCCTGCTTTGGTGGCGACTGGACGAAGAAGAGCGTTTGTCTCGTCTGTAGTGTCTGCTCCTGTGGTATGACCTGCTATCTCGAGACAACTGGGACGAGGATCGCGAATATCGACTGCGTGATGATAAACTTCGATTTCTGGAATAAGATGATGATGAACTGCTGCTACTTCTTCTTCTCTTTCGAGAGCATGAACTGCTTCTCTCGTAACTTCTCCTGTCAGTTCGTTTTCTCTTCGTATCAGTGGAAGGTGATACACTATTTCTTTCAGAACTTCTCTCGTCAGTGTGTCGTCTCTTAGTATCCCTTGAAGGAGAGACACTGTTTCTATCATAACTTCTCTGGTCAGTTTGCTGCAACTTAGCACGACTGGTAGAAGACACACTGTTTTTATAAACTCTCCGGTCAATTTGCTGTAACTTAGCACAACTGGAAGAAGAGTCACTGTTTTTATTATGACTTTTCTGGTCAGTTTGTCGCAACTTAATATGACTGGAAGAAGGAGAGATACTGTTTATATAACTTCTCAGATCAGTTTGTTGTAACTTAACATGACTGGAAGAAGAAGAGACACTGTTTCTATCATAACTTCTCTGGTCAGTTTGTTGCAACTTAGCATGACTTGAAGCAGGAGAGACACTATTCCTTTCATAACTTTTGTCAGTTTGTTGTAACTTAGCATGACTGGAAGGAGACAAACTGTTTCTATCACAACTTCTCTGGTCAGTCTGCTGTAACCGTGTATGGCTTGAAGGAGACCCAATGTTTCTATCGCAACTTCTCCTGTCAGTTAGTTGTAACGGAACTTCCATGGAAGGAGAATCACTGCTCCTATATGTTTCTCTACCTAAATATGAATCAGCCATCTCAGTTTCTGTCTCAGTCTCAGGCCTCATAATATCTCCGACAGTCACTTGTGTAGATCCAGGTTTCAAAGAGTCTGCTCTGTCACTTTCTGTTTCAGTCTCAAAATGTTTCACTCGATCTCTGAAACATCTTTTTGCAGATTCCAGTTTCACAGGTTGTTCTAGTTTGCATATCACATTTTTAAAAAGATCCTTGTCACTTTCCTCAATGTCTTTACCTTTCGCATTCACATTTGAATGTGTATTTTGACATATTTCTGCTGTGTGCAACGATTCCTTTTCCTGCTTTTGGACACTTAGTAGTACTTTTCCTGGTAAAATGAATCTATGGTCATCATTGACATCGTGTGATCCACTAGGCAAGGCGTCTTCGCTTTCACGTTTTATATTTTTCATTTTAGAACATGTTTGTTCGGAGGTATTGTATTTGGTCTTTGCAGTGACTAGTGATGAACAATCGCCAATTGCCTTGAGCAATAATTCTTTAGCTTTTGCTAAAGCAGCCTCTTGATCCAATACTCGGTCACAAATTTCTGTTGTATCCACATCCACTGGCAAATTTTTATGTGTTTTTGGCTTTTTGTTCTCAGACTGTGTGTTATCTGAATGTCGATTTACAACCTGACTAGAAGCAAGGCTCTGGCTTCCTTCGCGTAACAGCGACTTTTCGTTAAAAACTTGTACAACAATGTTTTCCCCGAAGATAGAAAATGTCCTCAGGTTTTCGGCAGCTTGCGCAAGATGTCTATACCTGTCAGCTCTCCCAGGTTCTGGTGACGTCTGCAACACTTTGCTCTGTTTAGATGGCACAGATGGTTTTAGTAAAGCAGTATCGCTGACACTTGCAGAAACCTGATCACCAAAATCAGACTCTGAATCGGATTCTGATATACTTTCCAAATCAGATATGGCTGCCTCTTTCTTTCTGGTGACACTTTTCACTTTACTTTTTAATGTTTTGTTTTTTGGATAAATGCCATGATCACTATTCATTTTCTTTGATGGGCTGATAAATATTCTTTTACTCTGATATGACTTGGAAGTGGCACCTTTCTTATTATCATTATTGTCTTTACTTGCAGCACATAATTCTTTGAAGTTGTTTACTCTTTTAACAGCTGCTTTTTCTTTTCTCTTATTTTTAGCTGGAGAATCAGTTTCACTGTCAGTGCTAATATAAACAACATCAGAATTTGACCTGTGTGAAGCATCTGCTGTATTAGTCTTATTCTCACTGCCACCGTCAGTTTTGGAACACTTTTCTTTTTTTATTGAATCATGCAGATCCTGTTTCACAATTTTCTTTCTGTCATTTTCAAAGTCATTTTTATCTACAAGTGATGGTCTCCTTTTTCTTAAACAACCAATTGTTTCCGCTTCTTTATTTTCACCTGCGAGCTTACCCTTCTTTACAGGTGCAATTTCCTCTTCTGCCTCATTATCAGAGCTACTACTGATTTCTCCTTCTTCCATCTCCCTAGGTGGAATAACGTCCTCCTCTTTAGAAGACAGAGGAGAGCTGATAGTTTCATCAACGTCAACAGCTGTCAACTCACTTGGTGTGTTCGGCAAACTGCCAACTTCCAGATCTTCAAGGTTGTTGATTTCACTGAGGATTTTTTCCCGGGCATATGAAAGAGCAATTAAAGGAACATCTGCCAGGTATACTTTACCGTTGCTGTGAACACTGATTGTAGTGTTGACTGGCGCAGAGGTATCCAAATCTGTGGTATCTGACGGCAAAGAGCTGGAAGTTGTTTCTGTGTTTTCCCCCAGTAGTTTGCTGTGAAAAACAGCTCCATTGCAGACGGCCACTTTGTCTGCGCTATCTTTACCATGAGGAGAAATATCTGAGTTGTTCCTTGCATTTATACACTTTGATGACTCAAATCCTGGGCGGTCAACATTCTCATCTGTAAATGCAGTCTTTGTGTTTAATTCTGGTAGTGTGTCATCTTCCGGTGACTTTTTACACGTCTGCACTGATTCTGCATTTTTTTCTACAAATAAGCCTGCTCTCGATGGCTTCACCTCTGGTGACAAACTTCCAGTTCTAAATGTTGGAGCAGGTGACTTTTCAGAAACTGATAATGTATTTTTAGTGTCATCTCCATCAGAATCAGAATTACTTAAGGACCTTTTTATTTCTATAGATATACTGCCTGGAGAACCTGCATATTTCCTTGGAGATTCTGTGACTGGCTGCCTATGTGAAGTTGATGCAGTCTCTATTTCCAGTTCTTCTAAATCTGGCTTCACACAGACATCATCAGTGCTTGCATTGAACAGAACCTTTCTGTGGTGCATATCTTTTGTTGGTGACAAAGTATCTCCAATAGCCTTGTGACCATCTGCCATTTCATCATGATCTAATTCTCTAGAACTAGAGGTTTCGACACTACAATAAGCATTTGTATCATGCCCAACTTCCTCTGGTTGTAAGGACGCAGTATCTTCAGAAACCTCCTCTAATATATTTTTGTTTGTCTTTACTAGCGTATCTCTTAGTAATTTTAGAACAGGAAGAGGGTCTATTTTATTGTCCACTTTTGGAGCTGAGGATAACTTGCTAATTACATTGTTTAAATGTATAAACAGCAATCTTTTTTTCTCCTCATCATCTTCCTCGTCTACTTGGGGAACTGTAACGGGGCTAGATGGAACTTCAATAACCTCAACATCCTGCTGTACACTTGCAGAATCTTCGCCCATTTCACCGTCACAATTTTCTTTGCCATGTGAGACAGGAAGAGGAGAATCGGTCTGCTCATCATCTGAATAATCTTCTTCAATTATTCTGTAAGGTTTAACTTTGGTATCAACAGCTTTTTTAGGTGATATGGACTTCAGAAATCTCCGACATTTCTCTTCATTTAGCATATATAATTCCTTGGGTGAATTGAATATTTCTGGCCAGTATGTCTCTGCAGCAACTGAAAGTTTGCTGGCTTTCGTATCTCCTGTATAACTCAGTGTTTCCTGCGAAGATGATGCCACAGCTTTAAACTCAAGGTATTCGCTCTGTTGGCCACCATTATGATTGGGGGTATTAACATCTCCAAGTCCAGGAATACCAGAAACTTTTGTACCAGTTGTATCAAATCCTAATCCAGAAATATTGTCAATACTGCTGTGCTTACTAGACAGCCAGAATGACGAGTCATGATTTTTTGAAGTATTAGCGTTAGGTTTCTGTGTATTTGCTGCTTCTGGGTAGTCTAAATAGGTGCTGTACTTTTCCGGCTGCAAGCTGCATTGTCTACCAGCGGCAGGAAGTTGTGCTGCTGCTGCAGGACATGTAACACCTGTTTCAAGAGGTCTGTAGCTGTCTGTCAAAGATGCATTTGTGGACATGGCCAAGTGGCCTTCTGGATATACAAGTCTATAATCTTGATCGCACAAAAATGTGTTGCCACTACCATCTGGGGCACTGGCAGGTACATTTTGTGGTCTTACCCAAGTCTGCTGGAGAAAACTTGGGTATGGTGTGTTTGGATGAGAAGTGGGGTTCGGGATTTCTTGTCTCCAAAGAATTGGTCTCTGTGCAAAATCATTTGTAGAAAAACACTCTTGATTAGAAACGGTAAAAGTCTGTTGCACTGATGGAATATTTTGTCTAGCAATTACTCGAAAATCTTCATCTCCATATGGCATTAAAAGGCATGGCTCACCAACAGCAACAGAAAAATCTGGCAGGACGCGAAAATCTTCATCAAACTGGTACAGGGCAAAGTTGTTGTTGCCAACCACTGGGTTCTGCAACTGAGATGAACCTAATGCTGAGTTCTGATTATCTGTTATGATTTTCCCATTTGTTTTTATGGGCATACGGGCATCCTTCCAAACTTTCCAGGCTTCAGCAATTGTAGGCAACGCACAAGAGCTTCCAGAATTTTCCTGTAAATTAGTTAATGAAGCAACCATATCTCCACTACACATCTGAGAACCTTGAACTGCGTCTGAGATGTTGACTTCCTTGTTTTTATGATTAGTAAGAGTTTTATTCTCCACTTGATTCACTAAATTATCTTTGCTATTAGTACCAACAGCACTGATTAATACCTTCTCATGGGATGCCACTGTTTTTTTACAGTCTTTAGTACACGGCACACAGCTGGCATTGCTTAACTGTTTTTTGTTCATGTGCGAAACTGCTTGTGTTTTTGTTACTGATTCTGAGTATCCATTTGTTTCTTCAATCGACTTCTGGAATGCCAGAACTTCTTCATCGATGTGCTTTTTCACTTCAACGCTTTCTCTGACTTTGTCTAGAAAAAATTTCACACGAGAGCAGGAGTTATCTGGCTTCATATGCTCATATCTTTTAACAGCTGAAAAATTCCCAGAATTTTCTGCAGTGTTATCTGTCGTGCTATCATTTGATGTTGCGTCACTTTTTTGAAACAGTAAATGATCTTTATCCTGAGATTTCTTGGCATCCATTTGCTCCATTTTTGTCATGCAAGGCATCTGAGCCACAGCAATTTTATTGCTTGCTGATTTTTCTTTCACAGAAAGTGGAGGTGCAAGCTGTGAATTTAACGACTTCTCTTTTGCTACTGACTGTATTTCTTGTGTTCCAGATTCTTTGGGGAGTACATGTTGCTGACAGTTATAATTACTGCTTACAGTGGCGGGGACAAATTTGGATGTTTCAACAGGCAATGTCTGATGGGGTAAAATCTTAGCAGGTATATCTTTTTCAAGTTTCAGATTACTGCTTTCGGTAGCAGTGACATGTTTTTCTGCTGTATCAGCTAACTGATGAGATGAAATCTCACCACATATATCTTTTACAGGTTTCCCATTACTGCTTGCAGTTGTGCAGACATATGTTTTAACGGGTAAGGTCTGATGGATTGAAATCTTAGCATATGTATCGTTTCCACGCTTCAGATTACAGCTTTCAACGGCTGGGATAGGTACTGATGTTTTAACAGGTAATGTCTGATGAGATGAAATCTTAGCCCTTGTGTCTTTATCGGATTTCAGGTTAGTGCTTTCAGGGATGGAGACACATTTTGGTGTTTTATCTGGTAACATTTGATAAGATGAAATCTTAGCACATATGTCTTGATGAGATGAAATCTTAGCACATATGTCTTTGTCAGACTTGATCGTATCTGGTGCTGCTAAAGGTACTGAAGCATCTGACTGATGATTCTCATCCTTAATTAATGTATGAGATAAGGCTGAATGATTTTGTTGTCTTACTGATTGCTGATTCCTATTCTCAGTTAAAGCATTGGTTGAATGATTCTGCTCAAATACTGACTGGTGATTTCTATGCTTTGCTGAAGTGTTTGATAACACTGAGTGGTTGTGCTCACCTGCTGAATAATCACCCGCTGCTCTCAGCTTATGTTCCATAGGCGCTCCACTCCTTGCTGTACCCTCAGTTCTGGGGAAAAGTTGTCCAGCTCTACACTTCCTTGAATCCATCACATCCTGATGTTTTCTGTTGCTAGAAGAGGCCACCACTGTGTCACATAGTGTTTCTGTTTTTATGTTTGCAGCTTTGACAACCTGCTGGCTAATTAAACTCTTTCTTTCCAATGACCGCTTTGCATTGTATGACTCTGCCAATAACTGATCCCGAAGTGTTTCCTCATCAGAGCATGAATCTCCCATGCTACTTGAAGCTTTCAGACTACTAGAATACTTCCTGTCTAGGGAATGTGGTCTTGTTATTCTGTTACTTGTATCTATTAACACGCTTTGGTCAGCAACCTTTCTCTTAAATGACCCTTTTAAATATGTCTCCTCTAATAAGTGCTCTCTAAAGGCTTCCTCAGATTTTAAATCTCCAAGTTCTTTGTTCCCTGATAACAGTTCATTTGGAGCACGCTGTTCTGCTTTTTTAAAACTTTTATTCTTGAAACTGTTTTGGTTTATATCTGATGCATGGTTAGGGTTATTTGAGATTACATTCAACTTGCTGCTTATAGATCTTTCTTTTGATGCTTTACTCGCACTAGATTTATCATCATCACTATTACTGCTTTCAGTGTCAGAATAGGCAACAACCAGGCTCATTTTCTTTGGGGATTTCTGTGAAGTTTCAGGCACATATTTTGATACAAACTGAGGATGCTGAAACTAAGACAGCATTTTTAACAACACTGCTGCTTTCTGGAATTATTGCTGACTGTGAAGTAGACTTTGAAGTCAGGGATGACAATGTGTTGATCTCTTTAGTTCTGGCAGAGCAAGATGTACTTTTTGGTAGGGTTTCACTACAGCTAGTTTCTGATGGACCTGCTAAACAAGCTGTCTTAGAAACAGGCTCTTTTCTAAACGAATCTGTTTTCACTGCAACAAGTGCTGGATCACTAAATGTATTTAGTTCAGTTTCATTTAACTGATTCACATTTACAGAGCTATAATTATCACTTTCAGGCACTGGGATGTTTTCTTTTCCTCCAGGTTTCTCTAGGTTGTATACCTGATGAGTGCTCTCCAAACATGGCTGCACTTCAATAGATATACCAGGAAGTGCAGCCATAACAGTGATCTGTTGTTCTGTACCAGTGAGGCATGTGACTGAAGGCAGAACCTTTTCACCGCAGCCAGTTTTTGCTGGATCTGTTGAACAAACCGCAACTTCTGTGCTAGTAGATGTTTCCATTTTGAATGAATCTGTTCCTCCAATGTGGATATTTGGTTTACAATTGTAATTTAGTCTAGACTGATTCACTCTCAGTGACACATATTTAACACTCCCAGGTGACTGAACACTCTCCTCAGTTGTCTCCACGCTGGATGCCTCACTCAGGTTCTCCTCATCTGACCCCACTTCTAAAGTGTCACCAAGTAATGGAGATGCAAGGCAGGTTTGTTCTTCTTGTGTTTCGGGTGAACATGTCACTGGCGTTAAAAACTTGTCAGGAACATTCTGATGTGGCTTTTCACAAACACTGCAAAACTTGTTTCGCTTTGCCTGGAAAATGAGTAAAGTAAAAATCTTAAAAATAATTTTTAACAACTTTTTGTACATCTTGCCATATGATGCACAAAAAGCGTTATTCTAATCATTTTTATTGCAACCATGTAGTATTCAGGCCATAAACAATATCCACACACACACGCACAATGTTTGAAAACGAGCTGCCTGCAAAAGAACTATTTAACATAATGAATACAAATACCGATACCTGCTTAGAAATAAAGAAAATAACGCATGGAGAAGAGAACCAGAGAGTGAAGTTAAAAAGATGGGGAGGACCTAGGTGAGCTGCATGTGATAGCAAAGGATGGGATAACAGTGTGAGCTGGTCATTTTCTATGCTTCATTAGGGATAGAGCGGGCAGAAGAAGAATGGGCTCTCTGTCACTGTGTACATAGGGACTGAGTCACATGGAATAAAAACCTAGCGCAATTAATGAAATCGATCCTCCCGACTTTAACTTTTCACTAGAAGAATTATACACATATCTTGTTCAATCTGGCACTAAATACAGACTTGTATGTCTGCATTTTAACTTAATGAGGTCGTAGTTTTTAAGTAGCTGTGTTACTATGCTAACTCATCTGCTCCTTTGTTTTCCATCAAGTGCAGCCCATGTACTGTTGCAGGCAGTTGAGCCAGTTCTATTTTCAGTAGATAACTTACACAACTTATTCTCTGTCTTGATATGTAATCAATTAATGGCACTGCTCTTACCATTTCACTAATGTTTAATTTTTTTTGGGCCTGTCTTTTCTGGATTCACTTGACATATCTTTTTAGGCATCTCCTCTCACACAGGAACTTCCTCTTGTAGTCTTCTGGTTAGTGAGCAAAACTGGCATTGATGACAAATGCTTAGCCAAAGTTCCTTGTCTGTCACAGCCAAAATTCCCTACCTAACCAATGTAGCCAAAATTTCTTGTTCTCAATGCCCAAGAATATTTTGCACCAAGAATGACCCTTTCGGCCATACCATCATCATGTTGCTTTGTTATACACCATACAGGGCTTATGGTCAAGTCCTCCATTCCATTCTATCCTGTGCAATACTTTCAATATTTTAGATGGAATCACTCAGCATCTTTGAATTCTCTCAGCAATGAGCGTTGTTTAGGGTTTCTCTTAGACATCCCCATTTCCTCAATGAATGTTTCCCATTTAAGTGTCTGTCTAGTGATCAACTACTACTCCTCTGGATGTGTCCAATACAGCACCCTACCTGACAGAGAGGCAAGGAACCAACAGTCTACACACAAATAACTCAGAATTTTAGAATGGATGTGCCAACAATATCGAAGTTTTAAAACCAAAAAAACGTCCAAAAATGGATAAACAACCATGACTTTCCACTGGAGCAGCTGGTGAATACAAATTTTTAAAAAATATTAAAAAAAAAAGAAGTTTCCATGTTGATACTGAGAGAGCTGTCAAATTATCTCATTAGCCTCTAGGATTTTTTTTATTTTTTTTTTTTAATCTTGCTATCAGGTCATTCATCTTCCATCTAAACCAGTGGTTCTCAACCTTCCTAATGCCACAACCCTTTAATACAGTTCCTCATGTTTTGGCGACCCTCAGCCATAAAATTATTTTCGTTGCTACTTCATAACTTCAGTTTTTTCCAATTGTCTAAGATAACCCCTGTGAAAGGGTCATTTGACACCCCAAAGGTGTTGCAGCCCATAGGTTAAGAACTGCTTTTCTAAACCCTAAAGATATTTATTTTTTTAAAAATCAGGGCATGCAAAGAAAGGTTCACAAACAAAGAAACAAAAAGCAAATTGTGCAATTTCCACAACAAAGGAAAGCTGCAGTGGATATGTACATTTACAGCTGTCTTTGAGAAGATTAGACGATCAAGCCTCAAAACTCTTCTACAGTCAGACTCTCATATCACTGTCTTCCCCTTGTGGGTTCCAGGATCTCATTGTGAAGAAAACTAGAATAGACCCACTGACACCCCCCCCCCCCCCAACCCCCACCCCAAGCATCAAGAAGAGTTGACTAACTGGGAGCTTCCGAAGTCGGAGTGGTGCATCTGCCTAAAGAGGCAAGGAACCAACAATCTTCATACAAGTCAGTCAGATCTGTCAAACGGATTTGCACGTAACACTAAGGTTGACAATGTCCAGAAGTGGATGAAAAACCAAAACTTTGCGCCAGAGTTTACAGCCAAAGAAGATATCACTGTCTACAAGGTAAGAAAGTCTTTTAAGAAGTCTCTTTAAAAATACCCATTGCATAAATAAAACTTTTAGGCTATCCTGCGAATAACGGCCCTAAATTATCGAGCCGGAAAATATACCCTAACAGGGCCTCAGTCACGGGTCAATTGCGTACTTTCGTCATCTTAAATTGCGTACTTCCAGCGGCTTCCGCCACCGCCGAGAGTATCCCCCACGCCGCTCACGCAGCGCGGATTGGGGCTAAACTAGATGGCTTGGATTGTCAAGGATTGTGAAACAAGCCCACTAACCTGTGCACCCCAGAGCTGCAATGTGTCAAAAAATAAAACAACACACAACACAAGTAAACTGAAGAACAAATTACCATTACCTGCATGCAATCAACCACAACTGCCAAGGGTTGGTATTCATCATCACTCAGTGCTAGAAGATACCCACACTGCTCTGTATACAGCTTTGTGAAGTCGCCTTGGGAAAGCTGCTCCTGTTCTGACTTACTGCCTTCACAAGAATCACAGTCATCTCCTGAACTCTGACAGTCATCTTCAGAACTCTGACAGCTATCTTCAGAACTCAGATAATCATTTTCTGAACACAGACATTCATCTCCGGAGCTTTGACTGTCTTCAGTATCAGACATCACATCCTGGTCATGTCTCCTTGATGTCGGTGTTATAACTGTGTGCTGGTTTGTGCTGGCGGTAGCTGAATGAATTGGTGCAAAATGGGAAGTGACAAGTATTTCTGTACCTTCCACATCCGAAGTGACAAATTTATTAGTTTCTTCGTCATCTGAAGTGACAAATTTATCTTCCACGTGTGAAGTGACAAATTGATCTTCCTCATCTGAAGTGAAAAGTTTATTTCCATCTTCCACACGCTTGTTTACATCAGAATCACTGTCTGAACAGGCTGCTAAGTTCAGAGGCACTGTTTTTTCTACAGAATGTGTATCCATATGAATGATGGTGTCTGGCTGCATATTTGTGGCAAGTTTAGGCTTAGTTGTAATGTTCTCTAGCACACAACTTTGTTCTCTTAACTGTCCTATCTGAACATTTCCTCCTAGTGAATCTTCAACAGACATCTTCAACTGCCCTTTCTGAATATTTCCTATACGCCAATCTTTAATATCTCTAACATATGTACTCAACCTTTTCTTCTGAACATTTCCTGCGGGTGAACCTTTAACATCTTGTAAATCCTTAATAGATTTGCTTAACTGTCCTTTCTGAGCATTTTCTTCTGGTGAATCTTTTACAGATGTGCTCAACTGTCCTTTCTGAATATTTCCTGCTCGTGAATCTTTAACAGGTGTCCTCAAATGTCCTTTCTGATTATTCCCAGCTAATGAAACTTTAACAACTTGTGAATCTTCAACAGATGTGCTCAACTGTCCTTTCTGAACTTTTCCTGCTGGTGAATCTTTGACACATGTGCTTAACTGTCCTTTTTGCACATTTCCTGTTCCTGAATCCTTAATGTGTGAATCTTTAACAGATATGCTGCTTAACTGTCCTTTCTGATTATTTCCTGTTTTTGAATTTTTAACAATTGGTGAATCTTTAACAACTAAAGAATCTTTAAAAGATGTGCTCAACTGGTTTTTCTTATTATTTCCGACAAAAACATCTTTAACAAATGTGCTAAACTGTCCTCTTTGAACACTTTCAGCAAGTAAATTCTGAACAGCTAGGGAATCTTTAACTGATACACACAACTGTCCTTTTTTAACTAGAGAATCTTTAATAACTTGTGAATCTTTAACAGGTGTGCTCAACTGTCCTTTCTGAACATTTTCAGCTGATGAATCTTTAACAGTTATGCTTGTCGTAGAAAACATTTTGCTTCCCCGGACTTCACCAATGTTACTCAGCTTTTCACAAATGTCGAAGTCAAGAGAAGTCCTCTCTGATTTCGAAGAAGAAACAGGTGAGGAATCAACCCACAGGAAATTTACATCTTCAAAACTGTTAAATATATTTGATGTTCTAACTGGTGTTTGTAAAGCGGCTACTTTTTTTGGCACCTGCTGTGACACTTCTGTAGTCTGTCCATCACCTGAGGGGTCAATGGACTCACAGTTCCCACCCCGCTGAGGAGATGGTAACATGGTGTGTGCATCACTCAGAGATGTAATATTGCATACTGGTGCAGTAGAGACTGAGCCAATATTATGAGTACTTAAGTTCGGTGAACTGTCTGCTATGATGGTATTTTGACAGTGAAGTTGCTGTGAACCACTTTGAACTTTTGGTGATTGTTGTGCGATCACTGAATCAGAATTCTGAGAGCTAAAGTCTTTTGCATTAGAGGCTGCAGCATGACCAATGATGGAACTCAACTCTGTAGTTGATTTCTCATGTACCTCAGCATCACTACAGTCTGAAATAGCCAATGAAGAATCAGATGGTTGCTTGTTTCTTTGTTTATACTCAGAAAAGGATATCTTTTTTTGAACTACATTCACACTGTCAGCCTTCTTCAATGCAGATTTGACCAGAATTCTCCTTGACTCAACTCTGCTGCGTGGTGGATCATGTGAAGGAAGTATATTGATGGAAGCACTAAAACCACTTAACTGGCTCCTTTTCAAAATTCTTGGATCGATATTCTGGTTCCTTAAGGACAAATTATTATCAATACCCCTGTAGCCACCTTCGTTATTACTTGTAGATCTGTAAAAACTATGTTTCCCAGCAGTGTAGCCTGCAAAAGAAGGATTCCTAGGATCTGAACCTGCTGTCAATAAGGGAAGTTTCCCACCAGCTGTGCTACTGTGTGCACTAGCAGTATGTAGAATGTGTCTATTGGCACTGTGTCTACTGCTGCCAAATCTGTCAGGATGAGTCAGAAAATTATGACCATCTGGAACTAGAGAAGACGGCAATTTTGATTTCTGATTATCTGCTTTTGGAAGACCTAATAATGAAGTTTTTGCCACAGGAGGCGGCAATGGGCTGTTGGGTGAAGCTGATGCTTCGAGTTCTGCTGAAGGAATAAATTTCAAACATTCAAACATTTTGGAATTCTTTTCAGCTTCAATCTTATCACTGGCTGCAGCAAAGCGTTTCAGGTACTCCTCCTGCGACTCGCTCTGTGAGGTATTCTTCAGAGGATTATTTAATTCCTTTAATGAAGCCTTTCCGGCTTGCTCCCTAGTTAACTTAGTTTGATTCTCCCCTTGTGGCAACTTACTGCCTGTGGCTTCATGAGGTTTACGCTCCTGCTTTCTTTTAGTACCATCAACCTCAACTGCTGTTCGGTTTTCTTTACTTTTGACATCCTGTGTTTCTCTAGATGCCAAATCTGAGTTGACAGAACTATGCTTGCTTGAAATATTTACAGAACCTTTAGCATCAACCTCTATGGGAGACTGTTGTGGGGAGTCCAGTATCTTCCCTGTGTCAAGCGGGGATGCTAGTTTCTGGGTGGATGAAACTGCCAAAGTAGGGTTAACTTTAGATGATTCTTTAGATGGTGATGAAGTTGGCTTCTCTGACGGTGAGTCAGTAACTGAAGGGCTGGTGGTGGCAGCAGCAGATGGAGTGACCCTAGGAACACCAACTGGTCTTAGAGATTCTGCAATTGTGTTTCCTCTCCTGACTTTAATGGTAGCATAAGGCAGAATGTGTCTGGGGTATTTTGATGGCAGACACTCATCTGTGTACTCATACAGGTAAATCTGCAAATATATGAAAGGGTAGAAATAGTATGCTAAAAAAAATTGGTTCTTAGCAACAACTGTGAGCAATTAAAATCAGAAGACTTTACAAATATTAATACCGATGCATCGTTATGAGACATCACACTAATGAGTCATAATCATGAGACTTTACATTATTGTATCTTTTTAACCATAAGACTTGATATTAATGTGTCTTTCATACTAATGTGTAATGATCACGGGACTGCATTAATGGCTTAATGAACAACACTAATCTGTCACTAAAACCATGAGACTATCTGTCTCATGATCATAAACTTTATTTTAATGTGTCTATAAAAATAGGACTTTACATTAATGTGTTAGGATCAATAGACTGCATCCCCCGTGTGGGTTCCCGGGCCCCATTGTAGGGGAGAACAAGAATAGACCCATTGCCTCCCCAAAAGCATGTCGTAAGAGTCGACTAATTGGGGAGCTTCCTTTGAAGTCGGAGTGCATCTGCCGGCGAGGCAAGGAACCAACAGTCTGTATTCAAGAGAATGAGATCTGTAAAACTGATGCACACGCAACACTCAGGTTCTTGAGCAGGACTGCAGTTTAGTAGTGGACGAACAACCAGAACTTTCCGCCAGAGTGTACAGCTGGTGAACGTGAAGAAGAAGAATAGACTACATTAATGTGTCATTATAACCATGAATGAACCTTTACATGAATGTCTCATGATCATGAACTTTACATTAATGTATCTATAAACATGAGACTTTACATTAATGCGTCTTTTATATTAATGTGTTATGATCATGGACTACATCACTGGCCTAATGATGAGACTTATCACTAAAGTGTCATTATAACAAATTTGGGACTTTGTCATTGATGACTGTGTTAATGTTTGGTCGATTAATCCAACTTAAGAAACGAACGCATTCAGAATGAAGCCAGGAGGGCAATTCTACTAGGTACAAGATATCCCAGCATTGTTTTTAAAGATACATCCTTATATTGCCAACTATTATAGAAGGCTAAAATTGCTGCAAGCAAAGTAACACCTCCACCTCAGGGTAGCCACAGACAAGAAACTTCCTACATGATGACCTAACCAGAGTTAAGGGTCAAAGACTAAATTGGATTGTGTGAGCAAAAGACAATTAGACATGTACATGCTTGGGCTATCCTCCGAATAACGGTCCCAAATAATCGAGGCCGAAAATATGACCTAACACAGCCTCTGTCATGTGGACTTCCGCCACTGCCGGAGTATCCCCCACGCTGCTAGCATGGCGTGGATTGGGGCTAAACTAGATGGCTGGTACTCATGAGCAGCAGCCACCGCATCTCCTGCAGCTTCCTTCCTTTTATTTGCTTGTGAGTCCCAGCCATCTAGTTTAGCCCCAATCCACGCCATAATGTGTTTTCTAGCTCTATACATCTGGCCACATCATAGAAAAAAATTAGCCTTATTTAGTGGCCACTTTTGCTGTGTAATGAGCTTCTTTGAAATTAATGCACATCTGTGAATATGTTTCTGGAATAAAAAGTTTTCTCTCTCTCTCTCTCTCTCTTGTGTGTGTTTTGTGTTCACCCTTAAAAGTGCAGCTTAGCATACTGTGTTGTTCTTTAATTCCTGTGCCCTGGTTGTAAACAGCAGTGCACAGTTTTGGTTGTTCATCTACTTCAGGACTCTAGTTTTGTTCCAG